CGGAGTTCCGACACATGCTGGATCGATACGTACTTATCTATCTCGACGACATCCTGGTGTACAGCCGGAGTTTGGAGGAGCATGTGGAACACCTGTGCACCGTTTTGGAGCGGCTACGACAGGCCAAGTACAAAGCCAACCGCGACAAGTGTGAATTTGCGCGGCAGGAGCTGGAGTACTTGGGCCATTATGTGACGCCGCAAGGCATCCGTCCGCTCGCGGACAAGATCGAGGCCCCACGAGTATGGCCCGAGCCCACCAACACCACGGACGTTCGTTCATTCCTGGGATTGGCGGGCTACTATCAGCGATTCATCACCGGATACTCCAGGATTGCTGCACCTATGACGAGGTTACAGTCGCCGAAGGTGCCATTCGTATTYGATGACGACGCACGCCGGTCATTCCAAACACTTAAGACGGCCATGCTCATGGCACCCGTCCTCAGCATCTATGACCCCACCTTGCCGACGAGAGTGACTACCGACGCTTCCGACTATGGCATTGGGGCAGTCTTGGAACAGCACAACGGCGACGACTGGCACCCTGTGGAGTATTTCAGCCACAAAGTGCCTCCCATCAACTCGCTTGATGATGCAAGGAAGAAGGAGCTACTCGTGTTCGTCATGGCTCTCAAGCGATGGCGGCACTTCCTCCTTGGGCGTCGTAGGCTCACATGGGTTACAGACAACAATCCATTGACCTACTACAAGACACAGGATACGGTGAGCAACACCATCGGACGATGGATGTACTTCATCAACCAGTTTGACTTCACACCGAAACATCTACCTGGCCTCTCAAATCGCGCAGCAGATGCACTCTCGCGAAGACCAGATCTTTGCGCTATGACACATCATGCCTTCGCATTTGACGAGGAGCTTCAGCGACACTTCATCCGGGCATATGAGTCTGATCCGTCTTCGGATCACCCGCCGACCAGCCATTACCGCATTGTCGACGGGTACTTGCTCCTCCACTCGAGAGGCACGGACTTACTATGTGTCCCACGCGACCGTCGTCTTCGGACTCGCCTCCTCGGCGAATATCATGATACACGACTCGCCGGCCATTTTGGAGTCAACCGCACTATTGCACGGCTTTGACAGCGATTTCAATGGCCTGACCTCATTACCAATGTCACTCGGTATTGCGACTCTTGCGAAGTTTGCCGACCAGCAAGCCCCGCAACTGCAATCCCTATGGCGAGTTACACCCGATGCCTATCCCACGGGAACCCGGTCTCTCCATTGCCATGGACGTCACCGGTTCGTTTCCTCGCGACCGGCTCGGGCACGACGGCATCCTCACGGTTGTGGACCGATTGAGTAAGTACGCGTGTTTTCTCCCTTGCAAGTAATACTCCACGACTCCTGAGCTAGCACGCCTCCTGCACACTGGTTGGATTTGTGGCCACGGTGTACCAGAAGACATTGTTAGCGACCGCGACACTCGTTTCATGTCGGCGTTTTGGACTGCTCTCATGCAGGAGTCCGACACAACAATGAAACCAAGTTCGGCTCGGCATCCTCAGACAGACGGGCAGACGGAGCGGGCACATCAAACCGCTCAAATGATGCTTCGTACGCTTATCCGTCCGGACCAGAAAGATTGGGTTGTCCGCCTCCCCGACATCGAGTTCGCCTATAACACTTCGGTGCACCCGGCGATCGGCGTGACTCCATTCGAGTTGCACCACGGTGGACGGAAAGGCCGTATCTTCGCTGATCTTCTCTTCCCTCGACCAGCCGGCATTGACGCTGCCTGCTCTCCCGCTTCCATCCGGAAGTACAGGGAATTGCTGACTCAAGCCCGCGCAAATATGCAAAAGGCTTAAGTCCGCATGCAGCAGCAAGCCAACAGGCGTCGCGTAACATGTCCCATCCGCGCCGGTGATCTGGAACGGGTCTCCGCGGAAGAGTTTGCACTGGAACAGGATGTTTCACGCAAACTACTTCCCAAGTGGTTTGGACCTTGGTCTGTGACAGCAACCGCGGGCGAGGAGCCCGATGGCCCTTCATTTGTGATCAACATTCCAGAGCATCTGACGGTCCATCCGGTCTTCCACGCCTCGAAGCTGGCAACATACACGCCAGCCAAGAGCGACGACTTTCCGGACTGACGATCGCAGGACCCTCCTTCTATGGATGGCCATCAGGAAGTTGACCGCGTCATCTCCGATCGCAAGTACGGCAACAAGCCGCGGCAGTACAAAGTCAGATTCAAAGCATGCGATCGCGACGACACTCGGTGGATTTCAGGCGCAGATTTGAAAGCATCCACACCACTGATGTACGCGCATTATGAAAAGCGTAGGTTAGCTCAGGAAGCTTCACGACCCCCTCCCACCCTGACTGTGGTTCCTCCCTCATACAGGCAGCTTCGCCCTCGCAGGTAAGCTCGGTTCTTCAAGGAGGGGGGGGTGTGGCATACTGCGTAGACACATGGGCCCTGCAGGGCCCGTCCCGGACATTCAGCCTAAAAGCCTAAAACTTAGGGCTTACAGGCCCCGGTCGTTTCAGCTTGAAAGCTGAAAAACGAGGGTCTGCAGACCCTACCCCGTTTCAGCCTATTTCTGGGTCTTTTCAGACCCAGAGTTTTCAGCCTGAAACGGAGGGCCATTTTCAGGCCCTCATTGTTTCGACCTGCCCCTAAGACTCAGGCACGTAAACAGGGATGCGGAACACGCCAAGAATAGCCTGTTCCTCACGAGTTTGAGCAGGAGCTGCAGCTGCAGCCCCTGCCTCCCTTCGGCAGGCTCAGGAGGCACACCCGGTAGTACATAGGAAGTTCCCATGCACTTCACAGGTAGGTAGTTCAGTAGGCACGAGGTAGTCTTTAGGATATCAGCCGCAGCACTCAGGAGGACCGCTGCAGTAATCTTCAGCGCTAGGTGGTATTAGCGCTAGCTGTAGTCTTCGGCGCTGGGCGCCAGAGCTGTAGCTGTAGTCTTCAGCGCTGGGCGCTGGTAGGTGGTAGATCGTAGAGTGGGAGAGAGACTGGCGGAGGCCAGTGATACTTACCTGTGGCGCCATCGCTCCAGCTCCATCTTCGTGGTACCTGCATCAAGGCGCCAACTTCACAGGTTAGTACTGGACACAGAGAGAGAGAGAGTTCTTCTTCTTCCTCTTCTAAGTCCACCTTCTCTTCTCACCCTCTCGCCACCTGACTTCTCAGACTACNTTCCTCTTCTAAGTCCACCTTCTCTTCTCACCCTCTCGCCACCTGACTTCTCAGACTACGACAGAGAGAGAAAGAGTTGTGACTTGAGACTTGACGACATTGGATCCAGACTGGACATTGGGATTCAGACATTTCGACAAGGGACTATTTGGGCCTGTACCGAGACTTGGTGTTGACGACAGTCCCATCTTCCCTCCTCTTTCGTCTAACCCCTCCTTCTTCGTCTGTGTATGGTTGGGGCTGGCGCAGTCTTCTTGTGTGAAGGGCCAGACCCCCTTCACACCAGATAACGATGATGATGATGTGTGTTAAGAGCTGCATTGCAATATTGATTGTTCGGATCATTCGTATCTAAGTCTTCCGCTGTGCTATCTTATACTTTGTATTGAAAGGTTGGTTCTTGTTCTGGTCTGCATGTTACAGTATGCAACACTCTCTCTCTTTCTGTGTGTGTGTATGTGTGTGTGTGTGTGTGTGTGTGTGTGTGCGTGTGTGTGTGTGTGTGTGTGTGTGTGTGTGTTTGCCGGACTTGCCACGCTGACCAATTGGACGAACGAGAGAGACAACATGTAAACCAAAGAAGCAGAAAATCAACGGAAACAAAGCAAACACGAACGACGGCTTACGCACGTTCAGTCATGGTGGCACCGTCCTCTGAAAGCCTCCACGCAATGCACAACCCAAGCCTCCGGAACGATGCAGAGCCCAGTCAGCGTCCAACCTTCAAGATGCACAGCCCAACCTCTAGCAAGTAAAAGAGCTTAGGGACGACAAATCCTGTTGAGCTTCACACCCAACTCTCGTGTGTGTGTTCGCAGCCCTTAGGCTGCAATATAGTGTGCTTCTGCGTCTGTGTCAAGGTGTCGCATTTTTGGCGGCGAGCGACCAGGACGCAAAGTGGGTTCTTAGGGGGCAAAAAAATTTGGGGGACCGGTCCTTGGCAAAACTGCGGACTACCTACAGCTAGCTCTTCTAGAACTGGGACTTCCGGAAAAAGGAAGGACTGGTCCTCGGGTGGAAGTGGACCCCAAAAAGAAGTGGGGGGCATTGGACCAGTCTACGGGTAGAAGCGGACCCCAAAAAGAAGCGAGGGCATGTGAACTGCAAAAGGGCCCTCAGGCCCAGGCATTGAGCCCGGTCTTCTCAAAATAGGGAGGTCAGGCACAACGAAATAGGCGTTTTGCAAGAGACAACTTTGACGATTTTCTGTGCTCGGACGAACATGCACAAAAATCTGAAATTTTGAGAATCCATAGATGAGGTCG